CAAAATCAATGGGCCCCGTTATCGTGCCACCCTTGCCCCCCACCTTAATCCGGGCTTGTGTGTTAGCTTGTATTTTAGAGTGGACTACTGGAGAAATGAATATTATGATTTTACAATGATTTGTATATGATTCTCGTATAACGATTTTCTTATTTTGTTGTTATTCAACAACTATTAATTGTCGGTATTTAAAATTTCCATCAAATGTTTAAACTATCATAATATATATTATATAATGTTCAAAATATTTCGACTCGTTTTCAGTGATTTATAGACATTTGAATTATGAAATGTGTTTAGTTCTGTATTCTATGAATTCTATTCGTTGGGTCAAAAAGCTTAAAAATAATACAAAGTTAATCGTAAGTTTATATAATAGCAGTTAAAAAATATTAGAAATATATAGGCACGTTTTTATTTACGGGCATTTAAAATTCAAATTTCTACAAAATTCATCATAATCTTGACAATTTTCAATAAATATTTTGTAGTCAGATATTCATACAAAAATTTCTTATTTGTTTATCTATAATATGAAAATGTAATAAGAGTTTATTCATGAGTAGTTATAATAGCAGTTGAGAAACAATAAAGATCCATATAAGATCCATTTTTATAAGAAATTAAGTTCAATTTTTAACAAAATTTATCAAATTGATAGTTTACAAATTACTATTTAGTAGTAAAATTTATAAAATGTTCAACTTTTATTGGTAACGATTGAAAATGTAAAACAAGAATTCTCAAAAATAGTTCATAGTGAGTGTTCATACTCTAACAAAAAAAAACTAAATAATTTATTAAAAACACAGTTAATTTTCACAGACATTATAAGTTCAAATTTGGACGAAATTACTTATTAAAACAAAGAATAACGATTTTAGTTATTTTTTTGTAATTTAAAAATAGTAGGTGTTGGTGGATTTATAAAACTTTTAAGTTTTAAGGCCGTTCTTACAATGTCCGGTTAAATTTAACCTACACATAACCCGTATAATCCTGCAGGTAATAAAATCTGTTATTAGTCGGTTAGCGTTAACCGACACTTTACCGGACATTGTAAGAACGGCCTTCAGAGTATATTATTATAATTTATATACACGAATACACGATGACAATTTTAAATGTAATTTTTTGGATTATAAACTACTGCTGTACTAATGCTTAATAATCTGTAGCCAATGTGGTTATGATCATAAAAAATTATTCCACTCAAATTTAAAATACTTTATGTTTTATTATTTTTTATAGCGAAATATGATTTATTTTTTACCATATATTTTAGAAAAAATGAAAGTAAAATTAAGCCCCAAAAGAATATGAAAAAAACTTACTTTAATAGTTTAATTATCGACTCTTTCGGCGGAATCCGTAAAGTGTGAGAACTGTGACGCCGATGACGAAACGCTTCAGAGAATACAGAACTTAAAATATTGTGATTTATGGAAAATAAAATTATAAGGAACGCAGTAAGTTTTTTGCTCATAACTGCTTTGCTTATTGAAATTTTGGAATTTTTAATGACGATTGTGTCTGCTACAATGAATTTGAGATTTGCCATGGAATATAAATGAATAATGATAGATATTATACTAGGTACGTCATATGATGAATCCACGGATTTCATATAATGCAACTTTTTATATCAAAGAGTTCCATGTAAAGGTCCCCACACACTGCTGCGGTGGCGGCGACGCGACGGTGACGTTAAATTCTATTGTCTTGGCTTCACCGCCGCGGTGAGCGGTGAAATGTGTCCTACAGCAATTCACCGCCACCGCCACCGCTGCAGTATGTGGGGACCTTTAAGGAACAATATTAATTGTTCGTTGAAATTTTGTATGACAAAAATCAAAATAGCTTATAATTTTGAATTTGAATTATAATAATAGGTATCAAATATGATATATTATTTGAATTTTTATTTTCGTTTATCAATTTAATTATTTATTAATATGGTGAATAGATATAGCATATCTCAATAGAAGTACAAGCAATTTTTATAAAAGCTTATTGTATTTTATAAATCATTAAATAAAAATGTGATTACTGGATTTTAGGTAATATAAAGGTATACTCAGTAAATTCATCAAATTGACAGTATCGGCTATAATACCAACTAGATTCTAAAATTTCAAATCTAACATTTTCTACGAATACTGCTGATCACAAAATTATTAATTATTATTCAATATTATGAAAATTTTATCGGGGACCTATAATTTGTATTTTAGATTCTGAGTGGAACGATGAGTATTTTGATTTTACTATGATGTGTATTTAATTTTTAATTTTTTTTTATTATTTCTTTGTTGTGTTTGATGTGTACACGATAAGTAGGTAGTCAAATTCGACCTTCGTTTTCCATGCATAATATATTATAGGTACTCCGTATGTAATCAATGATCATATTGTTAATTCAATTTTTGTAGAAAAGTGTTTTGTGTAGGCATAATAAATGTTACATTAAAATTTAAAAAATTCAAAAATTAGAATATAGGCACTACAGTTTCCAGCTTCTACTACAACATTGCGTTATATTATGTTTTTAATTATTAAAATGCCTAAAAAGTAAACGAAAATCCCAAAATAATATGAAAACAAACTTACGCTGAAACATCGACTCTTCCGGTGAAACCTAGCTAGAGTGCATCAACAATGCAAACGTCCAGTACGTGAAGCCACCGAAAAAACAGCTATCTTCATCCGTCTTCATCTCGTTCCGAACTGTAACTTGAAACTATCGAAATATTTCATGAAAATTACCTGAACATAACGAAATGTGCGAATTCGTGTTAAAAACTTACATTATAATATATACTGCTTAACGAACTATCTGTATATTATATTGATGGCTTATTATTTTTTTTTTCACTAAAATTATTAGAATTATAAATCCTCGCAGACGAATGTCGACGATTGGTGATTGCCATAGATGATATAAAATATATTATTTAATATGATAAATCCATAGAACTTCTACACTCAACACACATACACGGTCTATTGATACACCGTGTGTTCTTTTACAGAAATCTTTGTCATCTGCAATGTATTCTTGTTTTCTATTTCAGTTATTTATCGTATACTAAATTTAACCAAACTAATTAGTCCACAAGTTTATAGACATCACAAATATATACTATAAATAGAGTATATTATTATAATTTATATACACGAATACACTATGACACTTTTAAATGTAATTTTTTGGGCAAAAATGACTATAACCTACTGCTGTACTAATGCTTAATAATCTGCAGTCTGGACTTCGTTCAGGTGATTTTAAACGTAATATAATAAAATTGATACTAGTGATTTGTACCCGATTGTTTAATTCAATTATTTACAAGATTTCAATAAAAAAATATCTATGAAGTATAAACATCCGCATTTCTATTAACTATAAATTCTTAATTGTATGAGCCATATATATTACATATATTTTTCGAAAAAATTATTTAATGTCTCACGGGTTGATCTAGCAACTGACTGCTACGACAACTGTACAATTTTTTAAGCATAATCCGTTTTGATAACATCCAGAAAAGAGTTTATCTTAAGAGTGTCTGTCTTGATAACAACTAATTTAATTTAAAGTGTATTGTTATATTATATGATAATGGAAAATAATAATTATAGTAAAATATATAATTGCAAAACATTTAATATCTAGCTGTATAGGGTATAAACTACACTACAAAAATTGTGAGTATGCTAATAAAATACAAGAGGTTTATAATGTATTTATGTATATAAATTATAAAATATAAAGATTGATAACATTATATTGTTTTAAATACTTCACGCAAAACCTAAGGTGATACCCGGCTTATAGTATACCTATGCAAAAAGGCACTTATTAAACTTGGAGTAGTGAAACGAAGACGGACTTGGACTGTTCGGTCTCGCGTATTTTATACATGGCGCTTTTAGGATTAAACTTATAAATGCTTCTACGTCACCCAGTTAACAGATTGTCCGGGGCAATAAATATTTAATTTAAGTCTTAAAGTAAATGTAAAATACTAAAATAGCAATAATATGAAAACAAACTTACGCGTAAACATCGACTCTTCCGGTGAAATCTAGCTAGAGTGCCGCCGTCGCCGAAAAACCGGCTATCTTCATCCATCATCATCTTGCTCAGAACTGAAACTTGGAAGTATCGAAATATTTAATGAAAATAATCTGACCATAACGAAATGTGTGAATTTGTGCTAACAAACTGTCCGTATATATTGATCGCTTATTATTTTTTTGTTCACTGAAATTATTAGAATTGTTAATCGTCGCCGACGAATGTCGATAATAATTGACGATAGCCATAGATATTATTATAAAATATATTATTTACTAAGATAAATCCATAGAACTTATATACTATACTCAGTACCTAATCGGTCTTTGTTAAATCGTACGTACTTTTACAGAAATTGTTGTGATCAGCAATGTACATATTCTGGTTTTCTATTTCATTCATAGTTCGCATGCCAAATTTAACTATCCGAAACTGGTCCGCAAATGTATAGACATTCTATTAAATTACAATGTGAATTATTATAAGTCTCCTTTTTGGTACTTGCCAAAAACTCGACTATACCGGGATTTAAATTTAAAAAATGTGATTAAGGGCCGTTATTACAATGTCTTGCTAAATTATAATTATCTGTCAGTTAAGCTAGCGTGCAGTTTAGCGTAGCGGGGACTTTAGTGGCCAGTTTAGATTAAACCATTATTACAATGTCACCGCTAGTACTATCCGTCAGTTAATTAATCTCAAACATAACAACGATTTCATTGGCTATTGAAACCAGCTGTTGTGCAATAACTGATAATGGAACATATTATATTTTGATAACACTGAAAACTGATGCTATTTTTTTTTATAATATCTGAATTTTACATGTTCATTTATTTTATGTTTACATTACCGTTTTACCGTTTTGTCTTTTTTACCGTTGGGATTTTACTGTTATTAGTTATCTATATTTTGTAAAATGATTAACACAAAAAGAGATAGGCAGGTGAATTTCTCTTCTTGCGAAGAAGAAATTTTAGTTCAACTTATACTAGAAAATGGTCATATAGTAGAAAATAAAGAGACAGATGCTGATATGTGGCAAAAGAAAAAAGAAGTGTGGGAGAAAATTGATAAATCATTGGTAGTATCTACGGGTAAGTACCTATATGAATATTATACAACAAATGTGAGCACAAAGGAATATAATACATAATGAAATTTTTAAATTATTATTTTAGATATATTATTATTATCATCATCGGGTAAGCATTTTATTATAAAGTAATAATTGGTATTTTATTGGACATTTTATTATGTACTGGCTTCTTAACCTTACCTAATAAGAATATAATCTGCTGTAATCGACCTGCACCCAAAATCATGCACATGCCTAGCATTAGTTAAGCTGTAATTATTTTTGTCAAAAATAAAAGCTTTTGTAAAAAATATTCAAAACCAAAATTCTTAGGCATGTTACCAATAATAATAACACAGCATATTAATATATAATTTATCACTGGATTAGAAAAACTTGTACTATGTACTTGTTAAAAATATTAACAAATACATAATCAATTTTTTATTTATGTACCATAAATTAGGTGTACAAAGAGGTACAAAGTCAATTAAAAGCAAATGGGAAAAATTGAAGAGAGACGTAAAGCAACGTTTAGCATTGGAGAAAAAAGAAATGTACATGACTGGTGGAGGTACAGCTAAACAGTTTAAACCAATGAAATATTATAAAGAAATTGTTGAGTTACTAGGTGTTTCAGCTATTGGGTTAGACAGTGGCTTTGACTCTGACAAGATAAGTAAATTTAATTTATTTTGATCGTACATTTTGTAATCTAATGTTGTTTGTAAATTATTTTTTTTATATTCATCAGAACTAGTTCCAAATAATTCAGAAGATATTGATATAGCCGGCATGGAGGTGGTAGTACTAGAAAATATGATGCATAGCCCAAATATGTTTGAAGATAGTCAATTACATAATGTAAATACATGCTTTAAAGAAACTGGACAGTTGAATAATGTAGTATATCTGTATAATAATAATATCTTAATACTGACTAATTATATAGAAATTGTTATTTATAGAAGTTGGTTACAGTTGAGAACAAGAAGAGTGAAGATGATGATGTGATTATTCCTCAAATACCTACAACTAGTTATCAACACGATTGTATCCACTTTACTGCCATACAGATATAAGTATTATTTTATGTCAATATTTACCCTTTACGATTTCGAAACATTTCACTATCGTGACCTCCTGGTGATTGAATTCGTACATGTGTACAATCAATGGCACCGAAGACTAATGGAAATCTTGCTATTTCGTACATCTTCATTTTTGTATCTTTAATATTATGTACAGGGATTTGTATAAATATGCTACTCAATTCGGCAATCACGTACGAAACATCTCTTATTGTTTTACTAGCACAAGATATACTAACACCAAACATATCGGCCACTGATATTAACATAGTCCCCAATGCATAAAAACGCAGTGTAATGAGTACTTTGTTCATTGGTGACATTGTCATATTCCTAAAAAAATATTTCATTAATAAAATAAAAATTATGCCTGTATACTGTATAGTATGTACTTACCGGTCAGTAGCTGTTTTTAGCTTTCCTTCTAATAATGATAATAAATAATCTACGCAACTTTTCGATAAACGAAATCTGTATTTAAATTCTTCGTCGGTTAATATTTCATATAAATTGGGCCTATCTTTATACACTTGAGGTCTTCTACCTCCAATATTATTCACATCATCAATAAATTCAATAATATTATGAATATTATTCATTTTTCAAGAAAAAGATATAAATAAAAAGCTTTATACCTAATTAAAATATTATTAAAAACGTAAAAAGTCTGAATAATAAATTGATAAGAAATAATAATCTATGACATTCTTCCCGCTAAATACCTTAGCAGGCACCAAAACCTGCCACTAAAATATGTGTCCGCTAACTCATAGTTAGAGGTAGCATTTAGCATAGCGAAACATTGTAATAACGAAATTTTAAAATCTAGCCGCTAAATGTGCTCGCTAAGCTAGTGGAAGGTTTAGCGGTCGATTGTAATAACGGCCCTTAGGTAACCTATTTGCTATTGATCTATTATAAAATGGAAACTGAACCTACCAATAATATCACTTTATAAAATAATTAAATGTGATAATTTGAAGACAATTTCTTAAAACCTCTAAAATATTTTTTAATTTAGTGTTATAAATTTATAATCTAGTTAAGCGCTCAAGCAAATTTTTCAATTTTTTTTTTTTCGGTAATCCATGTGTTGCGACCAGTTAAGTATATCTATGATGCAAAAATTAACTGCCGGAAATTATTAGTTTTTATGGTAAAGCTTTACGAAGTTCACGATTTTCGGGGTTTTAAGTGCTTGTAAAAATTTTGTTTTTTTAAAAAGAAAATCACAATCATTATTTATTTTTGTATAGGTACCTAAAATATAAAAAATATTATATTATACATAGACTTCAGCCAGTGCCCCGCATACATTGAATGTGTCCGGGGTCCCAAGAATCCTAATTGCGGCATTGGGTATAGGTACCATCTATTAACTATTAAGTAGATATTACATGTATTTTTACTGTTATTAATTATTATTATATTTTGTATTATTCGAGAGTAGAAAGTTATTAGTTGTGAAAAATCGATTTTCTTTTATAAATAGTATGTTTATTATGAGTTATATTTGTTTCTTAATAATTAATAAAAGAACTCTTTTATAGTGAAAATTGATCATCATATTACTTGACCAAGGAGAAACAAAGTACATTTATACGTATCTATATATGTATATCTATTGCTTGTTTAAATGTCACGTTTTTTATTTAATATAATACTGTTTCATCTGGTATCCACTGTATGTACCTATCTTGTATTCTTGTTTGATCGACGTGTGATGTGTCGCCGGTGTAACGACCAGAGGCGGAACCAAAAATTTTTACGCCCGGGGAAAATATTAAAATTAAGCCCAATCATAGACCAAGATTGAAAATACAATATCATTCCCTACAATTGTTTTATCATAACTGGAACTAAAATTACAAACATACTTATTAACTTATTAACTTTTAAACACATAATAATATATAATAATTAATATATTCTGTGGACTGTGGTGTAACCAAGTTTATACTAATAAACTATGACTATCACACCAAAAACACTTTAAATTTAAAAACTTAGTCAACATATTGTTGATACATTTTTAATTACTGGAAATACTGCAGTGGTTACTTAATTGTATTTATTATTAGAAATAATAACAACTGTAAAAATGTACCATCTAGCGAAACCACAGCCACCTACTGTGAGTTTCGCGACCGTGGACGCACGGTATAGATCGCGTCCCCAGGTTGCGGATAGGGGGAAGCCCGGTTCCCTCGGTCGCTTCCGAGTCGGGTAGCCGGCGAATAACTAATACCCGGCCGCGGACAGCTTCGATCAAATGACCCGTAGTTCCGGACAGTATGTCCTCTGGGCCGGTTCACGGTCGCCGGTTGGGCCACCGACCCAGCCGGTGGTGCTCTTAATACGAGTTGAGAGCACGGGCGCCGGAGTTCGCTCCGTCCAGCAGCCGGGCGTCTCAGCGTAAGCCGGGTTCGGGCATGTCTCCGGGACACAGCGGTGAGTGTTGCGGGCCCGCGGCTGATGGCTCGTCTGCTTAGAGCTACTAAGTCGGTAGGCGAGGGTGGTCGTCGCAAATTGTCCCACCTTTTACCGAAAGGTAGGGCTGCCGCCAGTTTGGGCAGGGCGCCACGGCTCGGCAGGCACCGAGTCGGGACGTTCGGCCAGACCGACCCAAAGAATGGGTCCTTGCTGGTGACGGTTCGAAAGGGTGGTGGCCGAGATTAAATTCGCACCTCGCGGGCGCTCGTCCGCGGTTAAGGCAAACCAATGCCCGTCTTGCCGGACAGAACTGGTAGATCTCGAGGGGGCGACAGTCTGACTGAAGACGCTTCAGTACCACGGGAGTGAGTGGGGCCCCGTCGGCAACGACGCCGCTCACCGCGGGCGTCCAGTGATGGTTCACGCCCCTGGACGTCCGTTGCCGGTAGGAATCGTGGTGGCGGTTTTCTTACGAATACTTTGTGGTTAAGTCAATAGATACTTATTCTAAGTTCTCGCTGACAGGCGAAAACCTCTGATGAATGGCCGCCACGACCCGAGGGCGCGAGTCACCGGTTCGATTTCGGTTCCTCTCGGGTGTCTAGCCGCTATACCGGTGTAGTATCATCGGAGGTTGGGTGTAACCAGAAACACTCGGTGTGGGGATAGCACACAGCCAGACCAGGCGAATTCAGGCGGCACTTGGCCTGTCTTCTTGGTACGGGACCTCGGTCCCGGTGCTCGTGGTCCGTAGACGACGCGCGGCCGGCGGACTGGGCCACCGTACGTCGACCGTGAACCTCCGCGGCTCTCGACTAGCGCACAGCGCTAATGTGAGGTCCGCGGTTGTAGCCGAAAGGCATCAAACCCGGGAATCTTCGTGTAAAAATGTACCATAATTAATCCAGTAAATAAATAAATAAACAATGCATTTATTGTAACATAAATACATTTGTTTAATCAAATTAAAAATTATTATTTGATATTATTAAAAATCTAAAACATTATAATATTATAATATAAACATTAAAAGGTAAGTGAAATATTGTAAAATATAATTATAATAGTGTTATTATAATGTGAAATGTTTATACACCGGTGTACTTCCTATGCAGATGTCGGTGTGTGTGTCCGTGTATCGATCATAATATTTTGTGTCGTGCAGACTGCAGAGGCGGCTTGATCATGCATTTTGTGGTTCACTGAACTACCAAAAAGTCTGGGGTGGGTGTTATTTTAATAGGTATAGGTACTAAGTCTTGGTAATCACTAATCAGTGTCCGGTATTACCGTATATGTAATATAAAAATGATTAGTTTGTTGGCCAAATCATTATTAGCAACAAATAGGTACAACCACATACACTAACAATCAACTTATGAAGTTATAAGCAGCTTTATGACGAAAGAGGTGTGCAAGTGGATGTCTCTCTGCTGCAGAGTAGGTTACAAGTGGCTCACTGTATAATGGATGGTATTAAATTTGAATTCAATAATATAAATATATAATATCATTGTATACGAAATACGATTCTGAGCGGTGACGGTTTGTCATTTGTCAGCGTGGATATCTTATAATATTATATTTATATTGTTAAATGTCATTACTTATCAGTGGCGTGCGGTGGTAAAACATGGGCAAGCGCTAAAATATAGTATAAGTATACCTACCTACCTAAAATCCTATAAAAATGTGCTCATATACCACTATTTATTACCAAACAAGTTTATTGTTATAAATAATAATATATTATATAATAAGTATAAGCCCGGATTAAAGGGAGGGGGGCAAGGTGGCCACGGTATGTTAGGCGCAGAAATTGTTGAGCGGTGTAGTGGTTAGATTTGAATCCAAATTGGAAGCATCTATTGCATTTAGGTAATTGGTAAGCCTTAAGTGAATAACCTAACTGAGGATAGAAGGCTTATAGGTCTGTAGTTTCTCGGGTTAGAGTTATCTTTGTCTAGTTTTTTGAACAAAATTATTGTGGCTGATTTCCATTCGGTAGGAAAGTAACCAATTTTTATTAGGGAATTGAATAATATGGATAAATATAAACCTACATGATATTATGTATTATATTTTGTTTACCTCCAAGACTTCGTCCTTATTTTTCAGTCCACATCCATCAGTAGTTGCAAGGATATTTCGCCTTGATAATAGGAACGACATTCCTGCCATACCGACGCAAGTGAACGAAATTCCGACCAAAATTTCTTTCGAGAAATATTACATTTTGCAGTTTAAAAAACTATTATGATTTATGAGCACTCTTTTTATTCGCAAACCGTAGTGATGTAAATAAATATTATAATCATGTTATATTTTGATATTTAAACAATTAAACCAGATAATATATTATTATAACAAACAATACTATCGTATAATTTATAAAGTCTTAGTTTTTATCGAACTGCATTCACAAATTATCATTATGGAAATCTGAATATGCATAAATTACGTCCATTCAGTGGAGGACTGGCAATGGATGACGGGATGCGATCGCATCCCGTGCCCCAACTGAGCCGGGCCTCATGCCCCATATAGATAAATTTGGAAAAATAATTTAAATAAACTGCTTAAAACTTTCTAAACTTTCTAATCGTCGTACTTGTCGTTGACAAACAGCTACCGTGTATTATTATTTATTATCATTAAATAAATGATAGACATTTAGTATTGTTCACTACGCCCATGTCCATATAGCTGTTGTTTGAATTTTTTATTTTGTTATATTATATTATTGATATTATAACATATTAACTATCTAACACATATTATTATTTAGGCATTTTTTTTACCTATCCATATCCTTAATATTATAATATACTGTAATAAAGTTATTTATTTAAGACTTCGTTGATTATCTTACCACTATATTATATTATTTATGTTTTATATTTCTGTCTCTTAGTTTAAAATTTTTATATTATTAACTAATAAAATAGGTAAATAATGGATATCTAGTTATAATATAACTAGATATCAATTAAAATATTATTTTAAATAATATATTATTATCTAGGTTTTGACAGTCATATACACAGTATACGTATTATACACTAGTATTGTTTTTTGAATTCTCACAATGTTTAGAATTCAATGGTACCTATAGTGAAACTTCCATAAACAGTCAGTAAATTATTGAATAATATAATACCTATAC